AGATGGACAAGTACAAGTCGGCAGGCGGCCACGTGTCCTACCTCAACAATCTGGCTGACAAGACGATTGGCTGCTATCTGGTGGGCGGCTCCAAAGACAAGCCGAGCACACCATCAGTGCTTGGGGCGGGCTTGGTGCTCAGTGACATGGCAAGTATATATTATGGCAGATTGCTGTACACTCTGTGTTCTAACTTGCAACATATAATTTGGCCATTTCTGCAACTGATTACTCAGTTGGATCCGGTTTTACTAATTCTTTGGTGGTGCAGGCATCGGTTTCCATTGAGGACACCATTGAGATCCTGATCATTGGCAAGATGAAGGGGCTGCACCACCGTGCAAAATTTACCCTGCCTGAGCCTACCAAGACACTCGCCATCAAGGACTACCCCTTGACCATGTTTGATAAAGTACACTCTGGGAAAGGTTTTCACCCGTAAATTCATGTTTACCCGTAATCATGTGGTCTTCACATGTAATTACCGGCCAAGAAAATTTGTACACATGCTTATTTTTAAGTTGCCAAAGCATTCCTTTTATAAGGAATAACACAGGTGACATTTTGTTGGTTGCCCGTGCTGGAAGTCATCCACAGCTGTAATGCAGGTTACATTACCCGTAATCACATGTACAAGGTCTTGACACGTAATCCCCCAAGCCGTAATGCACAGCACCCGTAAAATTTCACGGGCTTAATTGCGACGAAGACGTTTTATGCGTGTGTGTGTGTTACATGGTTGGGGGTGCGTGACCCCATACCTGTAAGACTACCCATACGAGCCGAGGGCCCAAGGGTAATACTACAACGCCTAAAAGACACGGAGGAAAGGAAAACACCGCACATCAGCCCAGACTAGCGTCTAAAGGGGGTTATTGAGTTTCGGTGAGCCCGCATATGTTCCAATATCCTCGCCGCACGTGCGGGTTCCCATTGCATGGCCTCCAACATGCTCTGTTGATGACCGAATCCCTCTTCAGCACGAATATCATTACAGGCTTGGCATTCTATTAACAGGCGTTCACATCCTCAATTCGGCTATTAGTACCACAACAGTGGCAAAACCGCTGCCCCCTGGGGACGTGGTACTTGCCCCTTCATGCTCTGTTTGCCTCCAAAGCCCAGCAACATAAACGAAACTGCATTACCTTACTATATGCTAAACGAGGAATGAAACCTTAGCATGTGTTGCCACAT